AAAAACCCCAAGCCCCCCCCCCCCGGAGTCTTGGAGGTAAGTTCTTGAAGGCGGATGCTTTCCCCATGCTCCTCTCATTCGATCTCTTTCCTTTTTGAATTGACCAAGGATTCTTCGGTCGACCCTTGGTTGATGTTCACAAATTGAATCGTCGGCGCGTTCTTGGTTGCACCTCAATAAACATTATCATCTCCTCGAAGTTCCCATATTGGTTATCCATGGAAGAAAACATATCGTCCACGTAGAAAAACCTTCCTTCTATGGTGGAGAATCTTTTCTCCATCCCGAATTTGATTTGTCCTACATCTCCAAACTCTCTTCCAATGTACCCACATTCTTTGCTATCATCTCCACAATATCTTGCTCTGAGCATAATTATTATAAACCAGAGCCAAAATCATTGAGCAACTTGTAATAGATATGTGAGAAAACTCAAGATAGGGCTAATTTGATTAGTATCAAAACAAACAAACAAGATACAATAGATGATCTATAATTTGAGAGTGAATCATCTTTCAGCAAACTCTAGCTGCTACTAAGAACCCAAATAAAAAAGTAAAATGCAGTAAATGAAAACTTAAAAAAAATCTTAATTAAATAGCCCTAATAAATACTTCCCAATATTTATTAAAACTTTTCCCCGAAAACAGCACTTAGTCCCCCCCCCCTCTCGTATGTGATTAATGGATGTGTGGGCCCCACCCGGATGTTGGAATCATCCTCATTAGTCCCTAGGGCTTCCATTCCTCTAGTCTGGGCCAGCTTACTCGGGCAGGCTGGGTTTGACCTGTCCAGACCGGTCAAAACTGGATCGACTCACCTGCAGAAGGAACGGGCGTATCAGACTGGTTTAGGACCCTTAGATTGGAAGCAGCAAAAAAAGCAACCGCCACTCCAGGTCCAACTTCATAGATAGATTTCACCGCATGAAAGCAAAATGTAGCCTAGAAGAGTTGGGCCAATTTAACCAGATTTAATTGCTTTAATCATTTGGACTCCAATTCAAGCTATCTAGGCCTCTATAAACGCTATGTGATGTGATGTGTCGATCTTATTTATGGTATGTTAAGTTGATATAAGCTTCTTTCAACTACAGAATAAAATTGGACAATGACAAAATCCTTCTGTGTGTTTTTGCATCAAGAAATCATGCTTAACTGGAGAATTTTCACAATCACAACTATTAAAAAGGCAACACAATACATTGCAGAAAACAAAAGATTATTTCTCTAAAAATTAACTTTTACAAAATACAAGTCCATATTTTTACCTCAATTTAATGCAAACTCTTGTTTTAAGCCACAGAAAAACAGCATGACAGCTTGAAATTCAAATTATACCACCCGTACAATTCAACGTACTCTGAATCATCATTTACTTTTCTCACATACCTTTCTATTATCTTCAACATAAGATCTAAGCAGGTAGCGTGAATACTTCTCCTTATCATCATAAGAGGTCAGCATATTAATCATATCTTCACCAACAGCAGCACCACATGATGGATCTGGACACCGGAGCATTAAGCACCCCGGGCCATCAGTTATTGATGTTCTAATATAACCTGCACATGACAGCTTGAAACTAAGCTTCAGAGAGTAATTCCAACATTACATAAAGGAAAAATAAGTCTATCCCAGAATCCTAATTTTTTAACTATCATTAAATATATTTACTGCAAGATATGGCGTTATGTAGTTGGATAATTAACAATATATTATGAAAAGAAATGTAAAAAGTTAACATTTGCTTCTACAATATCAGCCCAAAAAAAAACTGAAATATAGGCTCCCAAAAATCATACCAGAACAATCTCTTAGTTTAAACATTTCTCAAGGCTTCGGTCTTTTCCAAAACAAAGAGAAATGAAAAATCTACAAATGAGAATATGCATCAACAATCATATTCAAAAAAAACAAACCCAGAAATAGAACTTCAAAAGTAACTTCTAAAATACAACGGCGAAGTAACTTGGGGTACAAATCAGCATAAAGTTAGTTTGGTCAGGAAAGATAGTCAATAACCAACCAATTTAACTTGTTTAGTGAATTTCAGGGCAGGTTCAGGTGAACCAGAACAATTATCAGGTTCAGAGAAGTTCTCATGACAACCAATCCAAAAACAAAAAAAAAATGTTAACGGCACCATGGGAGCAACCAAACTAGCAAAAGTGGGATAATACTAATGAGTTCGTGTAGAGTAGCTGTAGCATTTCAAAAAGATGATTATAAAAGTGTAGCGCAGAAAGCATCCCTTTTGAAGTTATATAAATATTATGTTGCTTTCTTTCTTTTCCCTTTTGCTTTTTTAACCATGGTACAGCAAATTTCATATAGCTACCACATATTAGTAGATCTAGTTATAAAAAGCAATTTCAAATCGCAGAAAATTTAGAAACCAACCAGATTAAAGTATCGCAGTATTTGAAAAGGCAAAGCAATTAAAACAACTAGCCCGAACAAACCCTTAAGCTCAATACTGTAGCTCAATATAAATTCTAAATCAAGTCAAGCATTCAACTAAACTAACTTGAAGTTTAAAGAAAAGAACTCTAAAAGCCCACAAAGAAAAATGATAACCACAATGAAGGCAGTTATGAGCCAGCAGCATTTAATTCATCATTTGCATGTGAAAAATAAAATCTTAAAAAGAACCCTAATTATTTATCTATTCACAGTTCAACTTCACAATATAGAATTATAGAAAAAGATGTTTCTAATATAAAACTAGAAATGCACGGGGAGTCATGGTTGGTGATTTAAAATTTAAAATAAAAATAAAAAGAGAAAATAGGATTGGGACGTGCAAATTGCTAGAGTGAATCTTTTTTGTAGTGTGGATCAGTGGTTTTCAACTAGCCTTGGCATTCTATTTTAAACAATTGGCATGCGGGATTTATGCTATATTCTAATGCTTATGTATGGCAATGGCATGTGATGTTATCGCAGCAGGCTACACAGCAAGTAACTGTAGCAGTACTGTGGAACATGACTTCAATGCAGGTTATTGAAACGGAGCTGTGGTGGGATTCCATGGCCACATGCATCTTGGTTTTGAGGATTATGGTGAGCTGGCTTGAAATTTCAAGTTAAGTTTGTTAGCTTATGTGGAATTTATAAATTAGAGAAAAATTAATCTTAGTTTTTACGTCATATAGGCTATGAAAAGTCTATAGTGATATAAAGCATATAATTTACAACATCTAAATTGGATAAAAAATTTATTCTAGTTCAAAATCTAGTGAGTGCAAGTTGGAAGTGTGGCTCATTCGAGTGCGGGATAACTGCAATTACATAAAGGAAAAATTACATACCTAGCACCCAATTCTTATGGATTTACCTATCTCACAACTAAACTTTCATTTTTATACATAGCACTTTACCTATGAATGAAAAGATGAATTTGACTATTAAAAGGTGATGATGAGTGCAACTTTTCATATGATGTTTGTAATTATGAAAGTTTACGTGTGAGATAGGAAAATATGAAAGTTTTGGGTGATATGTATGTAAAAGAGCTTATTTAAATAAGGAAAAACTCATATTCTTGTACCAGCATGCAACCTACGTTTTCTCAACTTCAATGGTTTTATTCATTTGTCTATTTCTTTTAAATAATTTGTTAATGCCTAGTTTAACAATTTTGATTATGGTCAAAAAATCGATATATCAAAAACTTAATATAAGGAAATTTATTTATATTCCCGAGTATCCAAACTTCTTCTAAAATTATTTATATTTGTTATCATTTAGACATCAATTAGAGTTAAAAATTTATTATTGCTTGTTTCCAGTAAAAGAGAGTTTTAGAAATGATTTATAGCCAGTAATCAGTGAATCGTCAATGCCCTTTACAAGAAAAGCATACTAGCAGTACACTCCAATATCTCATAAATCGAATTCAGGTCAATTAAAGCCTATTCCGGGACTAGAGCAAGCTGTCCAAATATAAAGAAATAAAATTTCGAACTCTTTAGAGCGATATTGAACTAGCTGGAGTCAGTTGAAACTCGCCAAACAACCTATATATTTGCTCAAACCATGATGAAATCTTAATATTAAGTGAAATCTCATTAGAAAACCATCGCATCAAATCATAATCAGCTGAAACATTAACAAAGCATACTTGCCCATATACTCAAAGCAAAACTCACCAATATTCAACCAAGTAGGCCAGTGACTATTCTAGAGTTAGCTGTCGTTAAACAATCTAAATATGTATATATATATATATGCATATCTATGTGACGCGTAGTCCGATCAGTTGGTCATCTGCTTGTCAGTTGTAAGTCCCCTTTGGTCTGGGGTTTCATCCCCCCACCCCCTCCCTCATTCCTCTGCCCT